CCCAGTGTGTCCAAGCTCAGGCATGGGACCCACACCAATGTATTTCATTGGATCAATGACCAAAGCTGATGTGGATAGGCACATATTTTTGGCGTACAAAATCCTGCATCGACATGCAAAGCCTGGGTCCCTGTGAAGTTTTTTGTACTCCAGTCTTGAATAGCCCAATCCCATGAACAGAGATTTATCTCAAGGAGAATAGTTTGAGAGTCCCCTTTCACCAAACTACCACTTTATGTATTCAACTACCTTTTCACTGCCAACATTGAGGATCTTAAAATTCCTTTACCTCCTGTCCACCACCAAAAAAACAAAAACAAACAAAAAACAACCAAATCAAAAACAAAAAAACACATTTCACTTTCCTTTATCTCTCCACCAGCCAAGTTTTCTTCCTAATGAAAGGAAATCTTGAAAACTGCTCTCTGCTCATTTTCCTAGACTTTCTCACCCATGGGCTTTTTCCATTGACGGAGCTGTATACATGAAATTCTGCTGTCTTGGAAACGCTATGTCTTTTGGGTATTTCTGAAATATATATACATAAAAAAGGGTCTGGTGAGCTGGCAGGCAGGGGTGAGATTTTTAAAGGCTTTTTGACTTTCCCCCCTAATTTATCCACATCGCAGATCACGCCAGTGATTTTTGGTTCTCGGCTACTGATTGTAAAGATGCATCCAACAAATCTGCAAACTTTGTATTTTGCTAAAAGACAAAGGCTATTTCAGGAAGGACAATTATCCTACACTTTCCGCTCTTAAAAAACACACAGCAACGACACTGACTTCACCGGCCGCTAGGGAATTATCTGCTAGGGAAACTGTCGTAGGTAGAAGGAGAGCTCACGTCTAACCACAGAGACTATGCGTGGGACCTTATTTGGAAAAAGAAGATTTTTGCGGATGTAATGGAGTTATTCTAAGATGAGATCATCCTGGGTTTAAGGATTGGAGATGCTTTCTAAAGGCAATGATCACTGTCCTTAGAAGAGGCAGAAGAGGAGACACAGACGCAGAGGAAGAGCCACGTGAAGACAGAGGTAGAGACTGGAGGAACGTGGACACAAACCAAGGGACACCTGGAGCCCCAGGAGCTGGGGGAGGAAAAAGAAGTCTCCCCTGGAGCCCCCTGGGAGCTCAGAGAGGAGGAAGGAGCCTCCCCTGGAGCCTACAGAGGTAACTAGACATGATTAAAATGGGTCAAATGGTGATCCCCAAAAGCTATGTCCAGGTCCTAACTCTAGAACCTGTGAATGGAACCTCGCTTAGAACTAGGGTCTTTGCAGATGTCATTAAGGGAAGGCTCTTGAGATGAGAGCATCCTGGAGTGAGGTGGCCCTAAAGGCAATGGCCAGGGTCCCCATAAGAGACAGAAGAGGAAACACAGACTGAGAGGAGGAGCCACGTGAAGACGGAAGCAGAGTCTGGAGTGATGCAGCCACAAGCCGAAGGATGCCTGGAGTCCCCGGGAGCTGGGAGAGGAGGAAGGAGACTCCCCTGGGGCCTCTGAAGGGTACTTGACTCAACTAAAAATGGGTTCAACGGTGAACCCCAAAAGTGGTATCTGCGTCCTAATGCCCTCCACCTGTGATGGTCTGTTGCCGACGTAACAAATTAAGGATATTGGCATGAGCTCATCCTGCAGTAGGGGGCCCTAAGTGCAATGACCACTGTCCTTCTAAGACACAGATACAGAAGAAGAGCCATGTGAAGATGGAGGCAGAGGCCGAGTGACACAATCACAAGCCAAGGGACGCCTGGAGCCCGCAGGACCTAGAAGAGAAAAAACCCTCCCCTGGGACCTTCGGAAGGAACTGAACTCAACTGACAGGGGTTGAATGCTGAGCCCCCAGTTACACCCATGCCTTTACTGGCTCTGCCCGTGAAGGGGGCCTTGTTTGGAAACAAGGTCTTTGCACATGTCACAAATGAAGGACGTTGGCAGGGTGTCATCTTGGAGTAGGGCGGGTCCTAAATGCAATGACCCGTGTCCCTCTAAGAGACAGAGGAGAGACACAGACCCCACAAAGCCCTATTTGAAGATGACCCTGCATTTGAGGGTCTAAGTCCATCCAGTTGCCATGTCACCAGGGAGAAATCCCAGCACCATTCAGTGTCAAATTCCATAAGATTTAGATTTCTTTTTAAAATAATTATCTATTGCATTTTATTTATCATTATTATTATTTTTAAATTTGCTACAGGGCTGGCACACGCACCAGAGAGAGACAGAGTGAGAGAGGGGGAAAGCGAGACAGCAAGCCACCAGGTCCAGAGCTCAAACCATAGTCAGCCATGTGGGAGTGTCTAGTGCCCTAACCACCACACCACCTGCTGACCCCAAAGATTTAGATTTTAAAATGACATCCCAAGACTTTCTCCCAGAGCATGTCAGTGATGTGGTCATAAACATGTTGGCTGTGGTTCAAATCCTGGCCTCAGCAACTTGCAAGACCATGCCAGGCATGTGTGCTCAAGTGCACAAACCCAGACGGACTGCAGAAATGGAGGAAAATGCCCCTCATGGGGGGCTTTTCTCTGTCTCTGAACCTCTCTCTCTCTCCCTGGCAAGTGCATGCACACTCTGGTAATAAATAAAATAAAAGACCATTCGGGTTAGACCCCTCAATACACTGTTTTCTTAGGTAAGTTATATAAGATAGGAGGCGGGGCCAGGAGGTGGCATAGTGGTTCAGGTGTCGCACTCTCACATGGCTGGCTGGCTGGATTGAGTCCCGGACCTGTCAAGTTGAAATGCATACCAAGTTCATGTGTGTGCGTGCCCAAGATCCTGAGAGGAGAATGGAGGAGAAGGGATCATGGTGTGGCCATCTTCCCCGGGGGTGGTTTCTCACTTTCTGTCTCTCTGGCAAGCACACACATCTATAGTAAAAAGCTCTCCAAATAAATTAATAAATAAACAGGTTAGAAGCTTTGAAGGTGGTGACAGTGAAGCCTACTGGAATTCTTTATAGTTTACCTCTTACCTCTCATTCTCGTTTTTCTTTCTCATCTCTGAAACAGGTGATAGGACAGAAGAGACCACCTTATTGCCCCTACCTTTAGCCACCTCCACCCGGCGACTGGATGACTCTAGGTGTCCCATTATGATTCATCATATGAAAGAGGAATGAGTATGCGACCAGCAGTTGGCGTAATGGGTACATCGCTGGACTCCCATGTAGTCGACCATGGTGTGAGTCCCAAACTCGGTGTCTTAAACTCACACTGGGCGCGTGTGCGTGCGTGCCCAAGATCCTGAGAGGAGAATGGAGGAGAAGGGATTGCGGCGTGGCCATCCTCCCTATTTCTCGCTTTCTGTCTCTCTGTCTCTCTCTGTCTTTCTGGCGAGCGCATGTGCCCTATAGTGAAAACCTCTCCAAAAAAAACCCCCAAAAAACCAACCACACACACACACACACACACACACACACACACACACACACACGGATCCTCCATATAATTAAAACAATATTGTGTAGAAAAAAACCACAGATAGCGAATTCTGCACTTTGCTATCTCTCTCCCTTCTCTCTCTCTGCCTCTGTCTCATGCCTGCTTCCTGTTCTCCCTCTCAGGAGCACTAGCTATGGGCCACATTCCAGCAGAGTTATTTCTGTCCTAGTTCTAGGGGCCGCTTTAAGATCTTGGAGGCACAGGGTGGCTACGGAGGGTGGATTTTCTGATCCCCGGCTGGGATCCTTGAAATAGGGTGATTTTCCTCTGCAAATATCTGACTCCACCATGGAGGTGGAGCGTGTGCTGTCCTAATAAACTTTTTCTTTTTTTTTTTGTAAATGCATGCACTCAAAGAAAGGAGTTTGTAATTCGGCATTTTGAGCCCACTAGTGCAAGAGGCAAGGTGAGCACGCCCCCTACTGGGGACATCGAGGCAATGAGGAAAACCAGCCATGGCTAGCTAGCTCCGTAAGGCTTTGGAGACGAACAGGAGAACAATTACTATTATCGTTGCTATTATTTTTGAAGTTTATTTCTCTTTCTTGCATGAAGGAGACAAAGACGAAGAGACAGTCACCCCGCACAGGGCCCTCACACCACGATCCACCTGCAGTCTCAGCTGGTCTGGATCACGGGCACATGCGTGTTCTTAGTATGCACACGTGTCCCCGGGATGGAGAGGGAGGCCCTGGAATTCAGACTGGGGACCTTCCCATGTGAGGCGGTTGTGTTGCCGCTGCACCAACTTGCAAAAAATTAAGAAAAATAAAATGATAGAGACCAGCAGCAGGTGGTGAAATGGTTAGGTTGCTGGGCTCCCACATGGCCGAGTGTGGTTCGAATCCCAGACTTGGCAGCTTGAAATTCCCTCCGGGCACGTGTTCTCACATCCCCAAAATCCTGAGGAGGGAATGGAGGAGAAGGGATGGCGGTGTGAGCATTTGCTCCCGGGAGGTGATTCCTCACTTTCTGTTTCCCTGTCTGTCTCTGTCTCATGGCAAGGACACGCTCCCTATAGCAGAAATCTCTCTAAATCAATCAATCAATTAATTAATTAAATCATAAGAATATGGCATGGTTGGGGCTGGCAGGTGGCATGGTGGTTAAGGGCACTGGACTCCCACATGGCTGACTGTGGTTCAAGTCCTGGACCTGGTAGCTTGCTTTTTCACTTTCCCTCTCTCTCTCTCACTCTTTGATCAAATTAAAATAAATCAATAAACTAAAAAATAATAATAATAAAGAAGAAAGAATACGGCATGGTGGGACCAGCAGCTGGCATAACGGTCATGTCAGTGAACTCCTACGTGGTTGACCACTGTTCGAGTCTCGGACCCAGTAGCATGAAATGCACGCCAGGCATGCGTGTGTGTGCCCAAGATCCCGAGAGGAGACTGGAGGAGAAGGGATGGTGGTGTCGCTGTGTTCCCTGGAGGGGATTTCTTGCTGTCTGTCTCTCTGTCTCTCCAGTGAGCACACACGCTTTTTTAGCAAAAATCTCTCCCAAAAAAAATATAAAAGAGAAAGAAAAGAAACAGAAGCTAGCATGTGAGCGGATTTATTGGTTTCTCGTTGGCTCCCTGCAGGCGTGTACGTGCCCGATGCCTGGTCGCGGTGGGTTCCTTCCATTCGAACCCTAGGCTGCGGGGTCCCCCTGCTTGTCACACAGACAAAACGGGAACACCCCACAGCAGGGCTTCAGCAGTATTTTGTCCTGATTCAATACCGACAATTGCTGCAGGACAGGGACCACGCCGTTCCGGTGTTCTTGCAGGGCCCGGGCCACCGTTTGGAGCACCGCGTCGTGACGGGGCTCGGTGTCCGGGGTCAGCGGGGTGGACTCCGAGGGGTCCCTGGAGAGGTCATACAGCAGAGGAGGGTCGTGGTGCGTGACGTTCTCCCCGGAGCAGCGGCAATAGTTGGTCATGTAGCAGGCCCCGGCTCCGGGAGGCTGGAAGACCGGGGTCACGTAGTGAACCTTCCAGACCGCGTTACCTGCGGGAGAGAAGGCACGTCAGCGTCTTGTGGAAGTGCGTGGGCTTCCCTGGCTCCTGCCGGCTTCCCAAGGCTTCTCTAGTCTCCCCCTCTGCCTCCAGGTTACAGCTAAACAGTTCCCAAGTTTTCCAACAAGATGAGCACGTGAGAACAATCCTGGGTATTCACACAACATTTCCAAGGGTCATTCCTTCTGTTTTACCATGTATGTATTTTTAAAAATTTATTCAATTTTATTCATTATTATTACTATTATTATTTTATAAATTTGACCAGAGAGAGAAAGAGGGGGAAAGTGAGAAAGCAAACCACCAGGTCAGGAACTCGAACTGCAGTTGATCATATGGAAGTCCAGCATCTTAACCACCATGCCACCTGCTGGCGTGGATACATACAATGTATGTATCTTAAAATGGATTCCTACTTTTATGTACTTAGATTGATTTTATGTTTTGCTATAGGGCACACGCACTTGCGAGAGAGAGACAGAGAGAGAAGGAAAGTGAGGAATCAGCTCGTAGGGGGGATGATCACCCTGCAATGCCTTCTTCTCTTCCATTCTCTCCTTGGGAGTTTGGGCATGCATGCACATGTGCCTGGCACGTAGCATGTGTTTCAAGATACTGGCTCTGGGATTCCAATGGCACAGTTAGCTGTGTGGGATGTGGGATGTAGCTACCTTCGCCACCAAGGTCCTGGTCCTGACCTGCCTTGCACTGAGGTTTTCAATATCATTTTTGCTAAGTTTACTTATTTATTTATTTCATGAGTTAGATACACACACACACACACAGAGGCTCCCCCAACAGGATCCTAACACCATAATCCCCCTGCAGCCTCAGGCAGTCTGTACCCATGACATGCACATGCGTGATCCAGAAGACCTCCAGACACGAACCTGGTACATTCCCATGTGGGTGACCCTTGCCAAACATCTCGTTGGGCTGCTATGCCACTGTCCAGCCTGGAGGATTATTGATCAGGGTGCCATTGGCAGAGAAAAATGATTTCTACTGCTGGATGTGCACCATTGTAGAGTGATTTTATCAAGCTAGTCACAGTGTCCTTGCCCCTGTTTCTGCCATATGCATTTGTCAGAGACAGACAGAGAGAGAGGAAGAGAGAGGGAGAAAGTGAGAAATCACTCCTCCCCAGGGAGTATGGCCACATCACAATCCCTTCTCCTTCATTCTCCTCTCAGGATTTTGGGGACACATGCACATGTGCCCAGCACAATTTTCAGGTAGCCGGGTTCAGGAATTGAACCATGCAATTGGCCATGTGGGATCCAGCCGCCTTAACCTTCACACCACCAGTTGTCCGCGGAAGCACAATTCTTGGCAAGTTTTCCAAAAAGATGGTTTTAGTGACAAGTCTGAGGGAGAATGACAGTTCTGGTGGTGGGGTGGGTAACGAATTTGCAATACAGTTGTGTGGTTCTGCTGGTGGCTGGCAGCAGAGAACAGGTGGGTGTTTGCCTGGGTACTCACTGTTGTCTTTGGGGTGCCAGCGCACAGCATGGATGTACGAGCCACAGTAATGAAACAGGAACTCATGCTCCGAATGATCGATGTCACCCCGTAGCAAGGGCATGAGATCACGGCCGTCGATCACCCTGTAGACACACAGAGACCGAGGGACGCTGGTCACCAGGCACTTGCAAGCATGTTCAGGGCAGGCAGTACTTCTCCCCGGACCTGGAGAACTGGGTGTGGCGGTTCTTAGAAAACTTCTGTATGCTCCCAGGGAGATCGTCCTTTCCAGGTAGTCACCATACAGTCAGAACCCCACCCCCTTTCTGTCATATCTCCCAGAGATCCAACGGCGGCTCTGGTTGGGTCTTGGGAACAACATGCAACTGTCCTCTTACCCCAGGGGTCCCCAACCCTGGTCCTGTTAAGAAACGTTAACCTTCATGTCCATAGTGGACACATGCCACAGGTTTTCAGTCCAGTCATCAGTTCTCCGGCCCACACAGCAGGAGGTGAGCGGCAAATGAGTAAGCAAAACTGTATTTACAGTCACTCCCCATCAATTGCATTACCATCTGAGCTCGGAGCCCACTGTGGTCTGTGCGTGGGAGGACTCTAGGATTCTCATTTTGTCTGGCGAGTTGAGTAATTATGCCAGTGCATTTTAAATTTTGAGCTTCTCCCTGGCTACGTGAGATATTCAACACTCACTTTATTATAAAATAGGCTTGGGGAACATAAGAGTTCTCCACAGGTTTCCTGTTGGCTAGGCTAAGCTATGAGGTTCGGTAAATTAGAAGTATTAAGTGCATTTTTGGGTGATAATATTTTCAACGTAAAATGGGTGTCACAGGGTGTAATCCCACTGTAAGTCAAGGAGTATCTGAATTCAATATCTTTGTTGGGGTGGGTGGTTATAAGATCATTTATTTTTCTACAGGCACTCAGATACATACCTGGAAAAGCCTGTATTTTGCTTTTATATAAACTGTACCTCAGTGAACATGGCAAAAGTCACAAGAGCCAAATAACAATGATAAGAATGTATAATACCTCTCTTCATGCCTTTACTAGAACTCAGCAAACCATTCCTTTTTTTTGTTTCTTTTTTCTTTTGTATAGGGCACACACGCTTGCTGAGGAGATACAGAATACAGATAGGGAGAGAGAGGAAATGATCCCAAGGAGGAATGACCACCATGCTGCAATCCTTTCTCCATTCTCCTCTTGGAAATTTGGGATACCTAGGCACCAGGGAAAAATTGAGTTGGTCAAGATGCAGTTGATCTCCTTTGCCCTGCACCTTCTCAGAAGGAAGAAGAGGGAGAAGGAATTCTTGTTAACAGATATTACATCACCTGTCCCGGGGGACGCTTCCTCCAGACACTGAAGCCAAAGTTGGGAAAATATCCATTAGACTTGTAGGTTCCTCAATCGACTTTCCAGCTGGTAGTTTTCCTGGCCATCGGAAAATCCCCGGGACTCGGATTCCACCTTCCCATCCTCCCATGCCTTTTCCACCTGCAAGACAGTGCCATTGAATTTGGTTCTGTGCCCATTTATGAAATAGTCATGGTGTTGAGTTTGTATGGAATATGAATTAAGATCAGCACAGACAATACCTGCTCAGTGCATACCAAGGGCAGAGTCTTGAGAAGGTTAGCAATGTACATTCAAGGAATTATGTTTTACTGTGCTACTCATAGGTTTTCAATTAAATAACAAATTGTAACTAAAATGAGACACTTTTATTCTCTTTTCATGGATAGTCCCATACCTAAAATGTGGTTTTCCTTTTCATTTTTTGGAGAGGTTTTTGCTATAGGGCACGTGCACTCGCCAGAAAGACAGAGAGAGACAGAAAGACAGAAAGCAAGAAATCACCCCTCCAGGGGGATGGCCACACCGCAATCCCTTCTCCTCTATTCTCCTCTTGGCGTCTTGGGCACACATGCACACGTGCCTGGCGTGACTTTAAGCCACTGGGTCTGGGACTCAAACCGTGGTGGACTACCTGGGAGTCCAGCGACGTAGCCATTACACCAACTGCAGATCCCATGAAAATGTTGTTTAAAAAAAATTAGAATCCAGGGGACCAGCAGGTGGCATGATGGTTAAGGTGCTGGACACTCCCACATGGCTGAACACGGTTTGAGTCCTGGACCTGGTAGCTTGCTTTCTCACTTTCTCTCTTTCTCTGTCTCCCTCTCTCTCTCTCTCTCTATGTCTCCTTCTGGTCAAATTTTTAAAAAATGAATGAATAAATAAAATAAAATAAAATAATTAGAATCCATCACCATACATCTCTTTACCACACAATATGAGTTTTCAATGTGTACGTGTTTTAAATGACATTCAAATCAAGGATTGTGACCAAACACCGTTTTCAATAGAGAACTTGACATTTTTGCAACTGTGAAGTGGTTCTTCCCTTCGCTCTTCCCACATAGTCTTTACCACCTACTCCCCTCTCAGACAGTCTCTGCATTTATCCTCCCTACCACCATATCTTCAGATCTTTCCATTTCTGCCATAGAGTGCAGACATCCAGTATGGATTGAGTGGGGATTTACAATGTTTGCCTTTCAGAGTCTGGCTCCGTTCACTTAGCATTTAAGTCTTCTATATTCATTCACTTTAAATCAAATGACAGGTTCTCATTTCTTCTCATGGCTAGGTAGTATTCCATAGTGGACAGGCGCCAGAGTTTTTCAATCCCGTCATCAGTTCTTGGGCATTTAGGTCGGCTTCATGTCTTAGCAACTGGGAAGAATGCTGCAGTAAATATGGACATACAAGTGTCTCTCCAACTGAGAATGTTCCTATCCTTTGGATAAATAGCAGGGAGTGGGATTATTGGATCAAGTGGAAGTTCTATTTCTAGGTTTTCGCGGAACTCCACATTGTTCCCCTCAGAGGGTGGACTAATTTACATTCCCATCCACAGTGTAGGAGGGTTCTCTTCTCACCACAGCCTCTTGTCTGTCTTTGTTTCCTTGCTCTTAGTCACTCTGAATGGGATTACGTGGTATTTCATGTGGTTTTGATTTGCATTTCTCTTATGACAAGTGAAGTTGAACATTGCCTCATCTCAAATTATACCTGTTCATTGCTAGACTCCTTTATACATTGCTTAAAACAACCTCAGCACGGCTTGCCTGAACACTTGATTGAAAATGCCAGTCCCTGGGGCTGGCAGGTGGCATGGTGGTTAAGGGCACTGGACTCCACATGGCCGACCATGGTTTGAGTCCTGGAAGTGGTGGCTCGCTTTTTCACTTTCCCTTTCTCTCTCTCTCTGTCCCTCTCTGGTCAAATTAAAATGAATGAATGAATGAATGAATAAAATTAATAAAATAATTCTTTCATAAAATAAAATAAAATGGCAACCCCAACGGCATCAGATGGAGCAGCAGTCGTGTCACTGGACTCTCACATGGTCAACCACAGTTCCAGTCTCAGACCGGGTGGCTTGAAATTCACACCAGGCTCATGTCCATGTGTGCCCAAGATCCCAGAAGGAGAAATTACTGCAGTGAGGCCATTCCCCCTGGGGGGTGATTTCTCACTTTCCCTCTCACCATCTCTATCTCTTTCCTGGTGAGCACACGTGCCTAAGGAAAAATAAACTCTCTAAAAAAAAGCCCATGCCATACTTCCCCACTCTCATTTCTGCTCCGTGTTCCCATAATATTAACCACCTTTAGAGACAGCGTATAATTTACTCATTCCTGTCCTTTTCAGGTGGGAAAAGAAGCCGGAATGAAAATGTATGAAGATGAGGATTTCAGCCTGTTTTGTTCACTGCTGCTTTTAGCTTTCTGGAAGCTGCTGAATAAGTAGGAGTGTATGTTACTTTATCATCTAAACCAAGGTACTCTTGAAATTAAAAGCAGAAGGTCATACCAATTATTTCAGGACAACACATGTAAACTGAAAATTTGAGAAAA